TGTGTTATACAGTCTAACTGATGACATCGTGATGTGTTATACAGTCTAACTGATGACATCGTGATGTGTTATACAGTCTGATAACATCATGACGTGTTATACAGTCAACTGATGACATCATGATGTGTTATATGGTCTAACTGATAACATCATGATGTGTTATACAGTCTAACTGATGACATCATGATGTGTTATACAGTTTAACTGATAACATCATGATGTGTTATACAGTCTAACTGCAGTTGGAATGAGTGACCTACAGAAGCTCCGTCCTGCAGCGAGGATGTTTAAGTCTCTGAAGGAGCTGCTCAGCCCCCCCCCACCCCCACCCCCACCCCACGGTTTCATGCAGAGGGTGGTGGGGGTTGTCCACGATGGCTGTCAGCTTTGCCAACATCCTCCTCTCACCCACCACTACCACAGGCTATATACTCGTAAGAGTCCACTGTCTCAATGTCCTTTCCCTGGATGTTCACTGGTGCTGTAAGGATGACTTCCTCCTGAGGTCTGTGACTATCTCCTTCGTCTTGCTGGCATTGATTTGGAGAGTGTTGGTCTCACACCAGCCAACAAAGTCACTGATGACCCCCCTGTATTCCTCATCATGCCCGTCTGATACGCATCCAATGATGGCCGTATCATCCGAGAACTTCTGAAGGTGGCAGTGGTCCGAGTTGTACCTGAAGTCTGACGAGTACAGACTGAACAGAAAGGGTGAGAGGACCGTGCCCTGTGGTGTCCCCGTGCTGCAGAATACCACATCAGACACACAGTCGTGGAGCCTCACAAAGTGTGGTCTGTTGGTGAGGTAGTCGAGATAGTATATTGTTACAAATGAAATGAATAAATTTCTAAATAAAATAAAATAAAAGCTAAAACTAGCTAATTGCTAGCTAAAAATAGCAAAACGTTGTCTAAAAGTATTAAGACCAGATAGAAGCTAAATGTAACAAACGCTGAAAAAGACTAGACAGAAGCTGAAAGTAGCAAAAGGCAATGAATGTAAAAAAAATGGTAGCTGAAAGTAGCAAAAGGTTACCTAAATTCAAGATGAGACAGTACCATGATGCAGATTTCAAAGAGAACAATGCTTTTAAAAGAACTGGAGTAATTTAATTGTAACTTTTTTTGCAAACAGTTATTTATTTTGAAAGGAAATACAAAAATTCCCAGTCGTTGCATCCATCTCGTGAATGAGTTGAATGTTTTGATATCTGAATGACCAAAATGACTAAATAGTACAAAGTATGCATAAGTAAGATCGCAAAGAGCATGAAGATAAAATAAAAAAAGAAAAACAGGAAAATGTTCGTGTGAATGCTTTTGTACCATTCTGGAAATTCCAAATATTCCCTTGTAGAAAATATTGTTTGTTTTTTCAGATATTATTTCTGTGAGTTAAATGCGTGCAGAGCTTTTTCCGACCAGCGCACTCATGAAAGAAAATTTCTCAGAGGGTTGAGAGGTCAGATGGTGGGTGGGGAGATGAAGAGCGGGCGAGATGAACCAGTCATCTCTGATCTTGTGAGTTGGCACGTCTTTCCATCGCAAATCAGGCCAACTTTTCTTTCTGAATGACATAATTTCATAACGTGCCCGCTGCTTGTTTGGATCTGTGATTTTACTGACCTAAAGAAAAATAAATGGAATGTGAGAAACAAAGCACCATCAGAATAAATATATTTAAATGTTTTTACTGATTTCAATTTTAAAAACATGTCAGCTCAGTGATGGTTCTTAGAAACGTGAGGTTCCTTTTTCTATAAAACTTGATGACATTTAGTGGGAGATGATTCACTGTGGAACTATTATTATTAAAGCCATAATATCTCTAACATTTTCTAACTTTTCTCTGTTGCCACAAACGGCACACAAATAACTTCAGGATTTCCCAGCTCACAGTTGAATGGGGAAGTGGTTACGCTTTCGTAACTCTGTTCCAGCTGTTTACCAAAGAAAAGAAAGACCATTATGTATTCTCGTCAAAAGTTCTGCACAGACCTGCAGATATACAACCTAAAACCCAGTTTTGCACGAGCAGAATTACACTTGTAATAACAAAATGAGTCGCCTTTTTTTTTTTGATAAACACAAATGAGCACAACCAGTTTTAGCAGCGGCGTTAGCAAACCTGATCCAGGCTGGTGGAATTTCCAGCCGCACCGTTCTCTTTGTGCTGCAGGGGCCATAAGGAAGAAGACACTTACAGTAAAACAACAAAAACACCTCGTACAAGCACCTGACAGGAAACTAAAACAGGACTTTGTCATTCAGATATCACAACAGTAAGCATAGGAACCTCAAACAATTTACAGAAGTGGCTTACTGAAGCTGATTTAAAAGATAAAACGCTCAGTAAATTATCTTTTAGCGAAGGCTTTGTGTGGAAATGTGTCCATTATGCTTCAGTAAGTCTGGATTTTCCAGAACAAAGATCCGGTAGTTCTGGGTGTGCAACACACACACACACACACACACACACACACACAAAAAATCTTTAACTTCCTTCTACTGCAAAAAACAAAAGAGCACAATGAAAATATTTTTCCTTCGTTTTATTAAAAAATAGTTGCATTGCTCATTTAACTAGAAAGCCCAGTGTAATTACACACAAAACAACATCAACTGCTTTCTGCAGATAGAGATAAATAATAATAAGAAAAACAAAAGACAAAGCTGTTTTTTTGTGTTATGTGTTACATTTCTATACTGGCTATTAATATTCAGCTAAAAGCAGGGACGCGTTAAATTTGCAAAATTAACATTTTAATTAAGATTTTAAGGATTCATGTTGTTTAATTCCTATTTTTTTTCTCCAGACTTAAAAAAATATCCTTAAGGCAAAAGCAAAACTGAAGAAAAGTCACTGAAACAAAGTCAATTTTTAAAGAGGTAGAATTTTTAAACATATTATTAAAAAGTTTGATAACTTTGATCTGAACACAAACCAACATATTCTTCTTAGTTTGTTTAGGTTCAATGAAGCAGAATAACTCAGTTTGTGAGAAAAAGAAAGGATTAATATGAGGCTTATATTACACTAGATTTCAGAGTAAACTATACAAAGACACTAATGAATGAAAGCTCAAAAACAGTTATTATTTCCATCAAACGTCCAGCTGTGCAGAGGCTCTGGGTAACATGAAGCCCAGTCTTTGTCTGTTTGTCTCCGGCCTGTGAGCCAGATCAAGACTTGATGCTGACCACTGATCTGCCAGAGATCTGGATGTCATCGAAAGGAAACAGGGCCAGAATCTGAAAAATAAATAAATAAATAAATAAATAAATAAATAAATAAATAAATAAATAAATAAAACATGTACAGGTCAGACTGAGCTGAATCTGTAAATTAGTTTAAAGCAAAGAAAAAGAAACATAAAAGTAGTG